CTAAGAGAGGGAGAGCTTTATGTTGACAAGAATCTGCTTGAGTACATAACTTTGGACTTGCAGCAAAACAAGGCACCTAGACACAAGACGAAAATTCTGCAAGAAAGGACTTTATGTTCATTTTTTCCGGCAAATGTTACCTAGTGATCTCCCATCGAACTTCAGCTGAATTTCATGCATAGCAAATCTGGAGGCAAGATAAACTAAAACCCAAAAGAGTCTGGTTTCCTAAAATGCGGAACAAAAGAAATTTGGTATCATCCAGACGCGTCTCACCTGCGTAGCACCGTGCTCGCCTTCCCTCTAGTCTGATAGCTTGGTATTACTGCAATAGGCAGCAGATTTCGAACCCACCCTGGCTTTGCTTCAGATACAAGTTTTGGTTAGATAACGTTTTGCTTATAGTAATTTTGGCCTACCCTGTAGAGTGCGCGCCGCATCTCAAAAAGGGATTAATCAACGGCAAATGCTTTATCCCTTTATTATCCTTTATCCATACGAGATGACCCAGTATCATGAGAATAATAGAATTTCATCAAATCGAGCATGGCAATCATAATTGTTAAAGTTTAACGTTTAACGACAGCTTGACGCGTTTCTCAGAAAGTTCACACTGATTCGTGCCTGAAAAAAGTCGTTCTTGTGAAAAGAAGTCATATCGAAAAATGCGCTAATCTTCTAAGCAAGTGGCGCAAGTCAAGTGGTAAGAAAGCATTCTTATTTGTAATATTTTGAAGTCTCTGAACATGCTCTCGATCTTTTTCTCCTTAATCTGTGTTTGGTGAAGAGGGAGAACGCTCCCTGTAAGAAGCTGGATCCAATACAATGGGTTAGTGATAGTGCTGCTCCCTACACTATCAGTGCGCAATGTGATTACAAGGGTTCTGGTAATTTTGTTGGATTCCTTTCATCAGATCAAATACCACATCTCCTTTCCTTCCAGGATGCGGTATCCAACACACCTATCGCCGACAGTGCACTTACCGACGATCTTCTAGGAGGCGTCACCGCAACCGTGAAAACAACTGAAACGTTATGTCAGAAGGTTGTGTGAGTTGAAATAAGTGAATAGGAATTTTTTTC